AACATTGTGAACTCTCTCCTTTGACACTTCAAGATGCCCAGGCTGCTGCTTTCTGCCAAACAAGCATTCCTGGACAGGGGATTTACCCCCAAGTGAAAGCCAGAGTCCCCAGGCAGTCTGATCTGTGACAGTGGTCTTCCAAGGGTGGGCTCCCTGGCAGGGTCCTCCTGCTTTGGTCACCCTCCAGTGTCTTAAATAGTTGCTTTAAAAAAATAATTTGCCCAGATTTTGTAGTTGTTTTCTGCAGAAGGTTTAATCCAGCCAATTTGCTGCTCCATTACTGAAAGCCAGTGTTTCTTTTGCATGCCTTTGAAAAACCATGTTTTAAAAAAACCTAAAGTTTGATGTGCTAAGAGCCCTTGATTAATGGACCCAAATAAAACATTTTTGCAGGAAACTGGATCAGCTTATGTGCAACCTACAACCTTGGTGATCTTAGGTGGGGAAGGAAGGGTATCACACTCTCTGCAGATGGGCAAGTTGTGTCTTCATATACGGGAGCAGCCAGACTGACCCACACAGCGTCTGTCATTCTGTCTCTGATCCCAGTGTCAAAGGATGAATTGGGGGGGCAGACAATTTGGTCTCAAAGAGTCATTATCCTTCCTAGGAGAGTCCTAGGTACCCCTGACATAACCAAGTGGTTTGTACTTTTTCTGAAACCTCTATGAACTTCTTTGTATTTCCCAACTGTACTGTCTCTTGAAATAATAATTCCATGTATCATTATCTGTTTCATAAAGTGCCATCATAGACTCTCACTATCTGAAATACTATCTATAAGTTTTTATCATTCAGTGTCAGATGTAATACTGAGGCATTACTGGCGTTCATTCATTTGCTAAATGTGTATCAGTTACCTGATACAATGTGCCTGGGACCAAAGCAGGACCCCAGCACCTCCTGGGGTGGACCATAGGGAGACAGACCCCTGTGTGGGTTTCCCAGGGATGCCATTCAAAGTACCACAAACTGGGTGGCTTGAAACAACCAAAAAACAATCCTCTTGCAGTTCTAGAGACCAGAGAGTGTCGACAGGGCCATGATGACTCTAGGAGAAGCTCCTTCCTGCCTCCTCCAACTCTGAGGCCTCGGCATCCTCGGTTTGTGGCTGCATTACCCCGGTCTCTGCCTCCCACGTCCCATGTCCTAACCTGTGTGTGCTTTTCTAAGAACACAATCACTGGATTTAGGGCCCACCCTCATCCCCTGTGATCTCTCCATCCTTCCCTTCTGTACATCTGCAGAGACGCTGTTTCCAAATAAGGTCACGTCCTGAGACTCCAAGGGGACATGAATCTGGGGGGACACCCTTCAACCCAGTACAGCCCCCCAAAGTGAGCTGTGCCCAATTGCCCATCCTGAGTTTTCATGGCTACCCCTGGCTTTTGGGGTTCTGGGATTCAATGAATCGGCCTTCGTTGTGGCTTCATAAACTTCAGGATAGCTGGCACAGTGGTAAAGAATTCCCCTGCCAGTGCAGGAGATGTGGGTTCGATCCCTGGGTCGGGAAGATCCCCTGGAAAAGGAAATGCCAACCCACTCCAGTATTCTTGCCTGGGAAATCCCATGGACAGAGGAGCCTGGTGGGCTATAGCTCATGGGGTTGTAAATAGTCGGACCTGATTGAGCATGCAGCAGCATCATCAAGCTTCAGGAAGACCATGGTTGGCATTTAAGACCAGTGTCTGATATTTATGTTTGTCTTTATATGTCAGAAACTTCACCATTCTCCCAACTTGAGTCACCCTCCAGGGTCCCCCCAAGTCCTGTCATGTTGGTGAGATGTGGCTTCAGGAATGAGGTGCTGGATGGAAGGCCTGTGGGCCTCAGGCTTCAAATCAAGACAGTGTAATTTTTCTCTGTCTTCCAAAACCACACCACTTTATCAAACCCAAATTATGTGGACCAATGACCAACAACCATGGCCCATCACCTGTTTTTATAAATAGTTTTATCAGAACCCTGCCAAGATGATTCATTCATGTGTCAGCCATGGTTGCTCCTGTGCTATGATGGCAAAGTCTAGTAGTTGTAACAGAGATCAGGTGGGCCCATAAGTCCAACCTGGGACTTAAGTCTGCCAACTCTGGTCTGAATGACATTTGTTGCTGTTGTTCAATCAGTCATGTTGAACTCTCTGCCACCCCACGGACTGCAGCACACCAGGCTTCCCTGTTCTTCACCATCTCCTGGAGCTTGTTCAAACTCATGTCCATTGAGTCAGTGATGCCATCCAACCATCTCATCATCTGTCATCCTCTTCTCCTACCTTCAATCTTTCCTGGCATCAGGGTCTTTTCCCATGAGTCGGCTCTTTGCATCAGGTGGCCAAAGTATTGGAGCTTCATCCTCAGCATCTGTCCTTCCAATGAATATTCAGGATTGATTTTCTTTAGGATTGACTGATTTGATCTCTTTGCTGTCCAACAGACTCTCAAGAGTCTTTAACACCACAGTTCAAAATCATCAGTTCTTTGACTCTCAGCCTTCATTATGGTCCAACTCTCAAATCCATACATGACTACTGGAAAAACCATAGCTTTGACTATTCAGACCTTTGTCAGCAAAGTGATGTCTCTGCTTTTTAATACACCGTCTAGGTTTATCATAGCTTTTCTTCCAAGGAGCAAGCGTCTTTTAATTCCATAGCTGCAGTCACCATCTGCAGTGATTTTGGAGCCCAAGAAAATAAAGTCACTGTTTCCATTGTTTCCCCATCTATTTGCCATGAAATGATAGGACCAGGTGCCATGATCTTAGTTTTTTGAATGTTGAGTTTTAAGCCAACTTTTTCACTAAATGCCGTACAGTGTGATAGACAGATAGTGCATCGTGGTCAGGAGTGTGTTAGACTAACTCACATTCTGGAAGGTGCATTCTGGCCACAGTAAGCAGAGCATGGACCCACCATCTATCCCAGCTCACTCACAGCCTCTCCTTGTCTCCATAAGACTTCAACTATGGACCGAGGAACTGGTCTCAGTGAAGTCAGCCTCCTCACTTTCTCACTAGTGGATTCATTCCATGGAGAATTTGACTCACTTTCCTCCTAGTGCTACTGAAGTTACCCACTTCCTGGCTTCAGATGGGAACATAATGGTACAGAGTGGGTAACTGACTGGCTTAAATGGTCAGAGAAAATCATGAATATAAGACCACAAGTTAGGCAAATTCCAATAGAATAATTCCAAAAGTGAGTTTCATCAGGAAGGAGAGAAAGTTGGAGACCCAGCAAATACAGATTGAAAATTCACAGCCTCCTTCTCCTCGCCCTCCTCTTCCTCTTCCCGCTCCGTCCCTCTCCCTCCCGTCTTCTCCTCTTCCCCCTCCGAAAGAGGCAAAGAGCATATGAGGCAGCAGTCATTGTATGGATCTGGGGACCTCTGGTGGTGAGAACTGAGTCAAGGTCACAGGAAATAGAAAAATGCCACAGGCACGGCCACAGTCCATCAAGTGGTTCCTGTGGTACCAAAGGCATGGGGGTGGGGCAGGCAGGAGGGACCTGGGATAGTCAGTAAAGATGGAATTTAGCCAGCACTCTCAGATCCAAACACACACACACACACACGCACACCTTTGTGCTTCCCTTAGGCAAATTGTTTAAATCTATTATCAGTTTTTCTTTGAATTTTTTAAAAAGGCTTTTAAAAAATTATCTACTTACTATTGGAGGTGGGACCCTTGGGGCTACAGAGAAACACAGAAAGTTTCTGGCAGTGTGTTCTGGGCACCGTGGTGTGTGCCATGCTGCCCAGGTCTCCCCGGGAGTTGGGAGCCCAGACCCTCCACTCGTGGGGGGACATTCTCAGAGCCATGGCCAGGAGGGGACAGGGCAGAGATGAGACAGCTGTGTTCGGCCACGAAGCCATCTCCTCTGTCTGCAGTTGCTGATTGAATTGCTTCTTGCAGCTTTATGGTAGCTAGTGTTTATTAAAAAGTAACGAGAGGGATTTCCCTGGCAGTCCAATGATTGAGACTCCATGCTTCCACTGCAGGGTGCATGGGTTCAATCCCTGGTTGGGGAGTCAAGATCCCATATGCCCTGCTGCGTGGCCAAAATAAAATTTTTTTAATGTAGAGAGTTTGACTTTCAGCATTTTCCTGGAGTGAATCTCATCTGCCACTTTGTGCTGTGGTTACATGAATTTTTTGGTAGAGAACTTTTAAATGACCCATTTGAGAGATGTCTGCACCTGGATGCAGAGAAATATATCAATACTTTTACATTTTCTCATGGACAGAGGAACAGAAGACACCTTTTCTTATTGCTGAAATGCCTGAGAATTTTTCTCCAGCCCAAAGGAAGGTGCCATTTCTTTCCTCTACCATCGCCTTTTTTCTCGCTGGTGTTGAATCCGCCCCCAAAGGGATACTGGTATCTGGGGACATCTGTGGTGGTCATGACTTGGGGGGTGGGTGCAGGGGTGCTGTTCCACCCCTGACCTGGCCCAGGAGGTCCCACAGACCTCCTGCTCACTGGCCTGCTTGTTGACACCTGCTCGCTGGCCAAGGTGCCAAGAGGACACCCTGCCCTAAGAGGAGTGCACTTATAGTGGGGTGTGGTAGCTCCCCAGATGGCAAACATCCAACAAGAGCTTTTAATTTTCTCCATAAATGGTTTAAAAATTGCATGAACCCTTGAAAATAGTCGACCTTGATGTGATTGGAAAGGGAAATGCCATTGTCCCACACCAGTCCTTCAGGAATTCCTGCTGGGCTATTTTTCAGGTTTCTATTGGGAAAAAATACCTCCTGCCCCTCCCTTCTGTCTTCTTATGAAATAATTGCAAAGCCTCTCTCCCCCTGCCTCTTTCTTACCTAGTCTTGCCAGGATCCTTGCATTTGAACTTGGTCATTGCCACTCACTCACTCACCTTGTACATTGCCTCTCCAGGCTTTGTGATGGCAGCCCTGCCCCCCTCACTCTCTCTCCACCCTCCCTTCACTCTCTCTCCACCCTCCCCTCACTCTCTCTCCACCTCTCTTTAGACCTGAGCATGCAGAACTCAGAGAGTGGATCGGATTCTCCGGCTTCCGTGGCTTTGTGTTCGTCGGCGGCTGCCCAGGCACCTGTGGCCCAGCCAGTGACAGCCTCCCCGCAGGTAACAGATCAGCCCGCCTGTTGCTTAGGCAGCCCCGGGAAAACCAGTGCAGCCAGGGGACATATCCACCACGGTTTCAAAAAACATTTAAATCTGCAGAGCCTGGCATCTCTATTTTTCTGAATTGACTTCTCAGCTCCACGGCTGCTACTGTTGAAATGCACCCTCATGTTCCTCCCTCTCCCCATGTTATCTGGCTTTTTCACCATTTGTTTTTAAAGGCCCCACCAAGGAATTGGTGAAATGATCCAAACTCAGAACCAAAGCCCTTCTCGGACTCTGATCGACTTCATTCTCATCTGCTAGTGGCAGTTTTCTTGTACCTTGGAAGTGAGCCTTCTACGCAGAAATGAGAATTCTTAGGATTGGTTCATAATCGAATCTAGCATTATAAGTGGCATATTCTTTCAAATTTGCAGAGAATTTTCACATCAAGTTTCTCCCAACTTCTAGATTTCCACAGTAGTTTGGAACACATCAGAAGGTAGACATAAACATAATTCCACATGAAACTGAAGGTAATGGAGCAGACCAGAAATGGTAGACATGTGCACAGGCCCACTATCCGTGATTTACAAATCTGAAAATTAGGAGTGGGACAGAGATAATTGGTACCAGCGAAAAAGAAAAATAAAGCCCATAATTCAGCAAAAGCAAGTAAGATAGACACCAGCACCACTTATTCAGTTTAGAACACGTAGGCAGGCACGTGTGGCACTTGTTTCTTAGAAGTGTGGCCACCCCAGCATGGGTACCTCGAGGCCGTGATCACTTGCGGCCGTGGCCTCACTGTCTCCTTGCCTATGCACCTGATGCATGGGCCCTCCACCCCCTGTTCCCTGGGGTCCCTCTCGCCAGCCCCAGTCTCAGGTGGCCCAGGTCTGGGTGGTGGCCGCCTTCACTCTGGCGAGTGCAGGCAGACTGGTCCCAGCATTCTGCCATGAGCTCCATGTCCATCCCAGGCTCCAGGGCTCCCGTCCCTGCTGGAGATGGGTCCAGCCCCCCAGCCCAACATCAGCGGCTGTATCCCCCACCCCTTGGGCACCTGTCTCGCCTGCAGGCTTCCTGAAGAGTGAGCACCCAGTGCCTCCCCAGTAAGGGGCTTTCTTGCTCCCTCCATCCCATGACGCACGCTTCCTACTTCTCTCAGTCCCACGCCTCCAGTAGAACTTCCCAGCACCGTGTGAGTGTCCTGCCGCCAGCCCTACCAGGCTCCGAGCACCAGCAGTGTAGCCAGTGCTGCGGAGCACCTGAAGTTTGCAGTTCATTTGAATCAAAGTAAATGTCAATGGCCACAGAGATACACAGCTCTTGTCTTCCATATTGGATGCCTCAGCTTTGGAGTGTGTGCCTGTAAATCCTCAAAATTCTTATTTCTCTATTTGAGGTGAAATTCACATGACACAAGATTTGCCATTTGAAGGTGAACAATTTAGCAGTGTTTAAGACATTCACAGTGTTTTGCAACCTCCACCTCTGGCTAGTTCAAGGACATCTTCATCCTACCAAACAGAAACCCCCTCCCCGTTAGCAATGACCCTCCATCCCTCACCCCCAGCCCCTGGCAACCAGGAATCCACTCTGTCCCTGTGGATCGCCCTGTTCTGGACGTTTCAGGTAGATAGAATCACACGCCGTGTGTCCTGTGCCTGCTTCTCTCACTGAGCAGCATGTTCTCGGGGTCCATTCACATCATGTTGAGTGTTGGGCTTCTCCCCTTTTTCTGGCTGAGGGATGCTTCCCTGTGTGGATGGGCACTTCAGGTTTGTCCGTCCATCCTGTTGATCTCTGTCCCATCTGTGTTCTCTGTGTCTTTGGGGGTGAGTTCACGGAGGGCTAAGTGTGTTGAATTCTTAGTGCAGTGGTGTTCATGAGGCCAAGCCCTGCAGAATTACTGCACCTGGTGATGCATAGGGTCCACGAGGCCAATCACAGAATCACAGTCCACGCCAAAGCCCCAGGCTCACAGAAACAAATCCCTCCTATTCGTACCTCCCCTCGGGAGTGCATTTGATCCTTCCCACTTTCCTAGCTTTGTCCGTCCAACCAGTTCTCCAGCAAAGTGACAGAGCCATTCTGGGAAGACGGCCCAGGGGCCCAGAGAGAAGCCATGGAGCCCAGGAGGGGGCTGGCCTGAGTCTGGGTTAAAGAACTTCCAATACTGAGATGCTGGGACTGCGCCCTAGCAGTGACCACTCTGGTCTTCCTTTCTTCCTGTGTGTTAAGCGGGGGCAGGTCGAGGGTGAACTGACAGGGTGGGTTGTGACGCAGCTTGTCCAGGGGGAGGAGGTGCGGATGGCACCCAGCTCTCAGCCCACATCACCCTGATGACTACAGATCCCCAGGAGACAAAGCCGCTGGGGGCATGTGTGTGCCCTCCTTCTTACCGCCACCCTCCCAACCCCCACATACGTTTCCATTAAGCAGCAGCAGGCACGGTCATGCCAGCTGTGAGCTGTCTTTGTTTTCAGGACTCACGTATGATGAGCCTAAATGTCCTCTCTCCTTCCCTTGTAGAGGGTGTTGGTCCAGGCAGCGGGCTCAGCTGCCAAAGGGGCCCAGATGCAGCCACTCTCCCTCCCCAGAGTCCAGCAGGTGCCACAGCAGGTAACCGCAGCGCAGGGGGCATGGGACACGGTTGGCATGGCATGCCTGGGAGCCCCGTCTGAACGACAGTACTTGCTTTCCTGTTTCATTGTTTCCTTTTGTGTGACATGTGTGGCTCCTTACCAGGAAGTTCTCTTTGGAAGCATTTAAAAAAAAAAAAACTGTTGCTGCAGATAGTTTGCTACAAGCCAAGAAAGCTGATGCTGTTTATTCATTCAGATCTGCAGCCTTTGGGGCACAAGTGAGCCGCTAGGTAGAGCTGGGTGCAGTGTAGACACGCAGGCAGATAGCAGAGGTTTCTGAATAGAAGGAACGTGGAGCCTCCAGCATAGGTAGACCCACCCACAGGCAAGTGCTGGACCCTCAGACAGGCGCCTCTTGAGCAGTTAAATGACTAGAGAACAGAGCTTGAACGTGTGGGCTCAGCAGCCAGATCACAGCCCAGATGATCAGCTCAGAGAGGCAGCGTGATCTGAGCAGTGGTCGGCAAACCTTTTTTGGAAAAGGCCTCACAGTGCTTTTTGTTTGGTTGGTTGCTTTTGCAGGCCAGATGGTCTCAAGCACAACCATGCAACTCTCGTGGATGGGGTGGTGTGGCCATGTGCCAATAAAACTTTATTTGTAAGATTAGGCAGGCCAGATTTGACCCAAGGACCAGAGTTTGCTGACTCCTGCTCTATGCAAGATGCTGAATTCTAATTCGTTCAGGCTCCTGTGCGACAGGACCTAGGAGCATAGTTTGGAGATGGCGAGACCCCAGAGGACATGCCTCTCCCTTCAAGGGGCTCTGCTCAGATTAGCAGGGTGTTTAGAGCGGTTTGCCTGATGCTGTGTGATTTGGGGTTTCCTGTAGGAGGAGCAAGGAAAAGGCACTGGCACCCCACTCCAGTACTCTTGCCTGGAAAATCCCATGGACAGAGGAGCCTGGTAGGCTGCAGTCCATGGGGTCGCTACGAGTCAGACACGACTGAGCGACTTCACTTTCATGTATTGGAGAAGGAAATGGCAACCCACTCCAGTGTTCTTGCCTGGAGAATCCCAGGGATGGGAGAGCCTGGTGGGCTGTCATCTATGGGGTCGCACAGAGTCGGACACGACTCAAGTGACTTAGCAGCAGCAGCAGCAGCAGGAGGAGGAGCGAAGGCTCTGGGGGTGCCCAGCAGGGACCCTGCATCTCTGTCTCACCTCCTCGAGGGAGGGGTGTGACCATGGCTCCGTGATTCCAGAAGCTTCCCCTGTTCCATGGGGCTGGGCATGTGTCCACCATTTCTCTCTGGGCTGACCTCTGCATCTTACCCAACCCCTACAGGCGAGAGGGGTTATGTGTGTGCACATGTCCCTGGGTTGTGTCCTCAGGTGGGAGTCAATCCAGTCCTGCCGCTGCACAAAGGTCTACAGAGAGGCCATGATGAGACCTGACCCCAATTTCCTCATCCCCAGTGAGCTTGAATCAGGCATCCACTAAGCCTCCCTCCACAGTGGAGTCCTGAAGTTCCCCACACAGAGCTCTGGGCTCCATCAGAGCGCCTGCATCCTCCAGGGGTCATCAGCTGAGGCTGTGGACTGACAGAGGAGGGAGGGGTCTTCCCACCGGCCCCCGCCTTCCACCCCCAGCCCCCCACCCCCACTCCAGGCCCAACACTCCTACTGATTCTGCTCAGACCTTCAGTCTCTCCCCAGAGGGGTTCCCAAGGCCCCTCCCCTGACCCAGCTGCTGGCGCGGGGGTGATAGAGCACGTGAGCCACTTGAACCCCTGCCCTGCCGGAGGACGGGAGTAATGGGGAGTGGGATCACACTCCAAGGTTCCATTTCTATCCGCATCTCAGGTGTCCGCCGTCAGGCAGGACTGGCCCCTCTGCCCAGTGGCCAGTAGACCCCAGTCACCATCACCACCACCAATGCCCCGCCCTACTCTGCATCTCGGCCCCCAGATGCCAGCTGGGCTCCTCTCCACCTGGAATAGGGGCCCCAACCTGCTGCGGTAATCCCTCTCTGGGTTAATCCGGAATATGTGGCCTCGACACGACTGTGTCTCCTAGTTTTTAGAAGTGCCGGCCAGTGGTAGGACAAGTGTAACGCAATAGGTGTTCACAAAAGGCAATAGGAGATATTTCCACCTGAATAATCTGGAAACCGTGTAACGCCAAGTGTCTGCTGTTGTTTCAGGTCCAGCCGGTGCAGCACGTGTACCCACCCCAGGTGCAGTACGTGGAGGGCGGGGACGCCGTCTTCACCAACGGAGCCTTGTACGTGGGTGTCTTCTCCCCTCCCCAGGAAGGGGTTCGCAGGGAACCCTCCTGGCCACCATGCCTACTGAGCTCCCCTGGTGATGGGTTTGCCCACAATCTTCTCCCTTCACCTCCTGGTGGGGTGACCCAGCTATTACACCCCCATTAGGACATCACAGCCCAGTGGAGATATCAGAAATCATAGGCATTTGTAGTTTTACTTCAAGGAAAGGCAGTTTAAAAAACAGAAACTCCAATCCACCCTTGAAGTCTGGAGAGCCCACCTTCGAAACCCAGAAACCATTTCCATCTCTGTCTTTTCATTCTGGCCTCTGTTAGCCTCTGGCTTATCTTGATGTTTAGAGAACTTGATCTTCTACTTGTCAAGGACGTCCAGGGCTCTCTGCTTCTGAACTCTGTGATGCTTGGGGCAGAGTGATGTGGTTCCCAGAAGCTCGCTGCTCGGCATGCACCCTTGTGCCTGCTTCTGACTCTGGTTTCACGACTCCCCCTTTGGGGTCCTGGGAGGGCGCGGGGGCCTGGCTGTGGTTAGAGATGTGACTGCTGCGATCCTGAGTGTCCGCAGCTCAGCGCTGACCCAGAGGAGCATGGGTGAACCCTGGGGCCTCAGCAGGCTCTGGGCGGCACTCTGGTGGTAGCGTCCTTGTTTGACTGCACTGCAGTCAGAGATGATGTCCCCCAGGATCGGAGGGATCGCCCTAACCCCCCCCCAGAGGGGCCTTCCCTCAGTCACCCCTGAGGAAAAACCCCTACTGGCCGCCTTTCACTGCAGCAGGCTGGACATCAATGGACATGGTTAATGATTTGATCCAGATGTTAAAGGAACATCAGACGAATTCTTGGAATCCTTTAGATATTCTTTTTATTAAGCAATTACATTTTTTAAAAAACTGACTTTCTGGGTTGAAAGAACTAGGTTCTCAGGAAGCTGCAAAATGAGCCCAGAGTCCCTTGTACCATTCACCCGGGCTCCCCGTCCCACTCCCTGCCGCCAGTGGTGACGGCATCTGTGACTGCAGGACACTGACATCGGGTGTATTCAGCTTCACAGTCCTTACACGCACTTGTGCCCATGAGCCTCTGTGTGTGGGTGGGTGGCTGGGTGGGTGGGTGTGTCGGTGGGTGACTTTACATCATCTTATCCCCGGGGTAGCCCTCCCCGTTACCAGGGTCGGGTGCAGTCCCGCCCCATGCCCCCAGGGGGCCCCCGCGTGCAGTTCGCACCTGCGGCTTTAAATGACCAGTTGTGTCAGCTGGGATTCCACGTGCTTTCTGAGACCCTGGCTGTGAACTTGGCTGTGTTGACAGTCCGTGGCTGACTTACCCACGCGCTAGGTGCCCTGGGCTTCGGCTTTGACACTACGCCTTTCCTCTCTCCACCAGGCGGACGGCCTACGCCTACAACCCCGAGCCTCAGATGTACGCCCCCAGCAGCGCCGCATCCTACTTTGAGGCCCCAGGCGGCGCCCAGGTGACCGTGGCAGGCTCCTCCCCGCCCGCAGTCCCCTCCCACAGCATGGTGGGCATCACCATGGATGTCGGTGGCAGCCCCATCGTCTCCAGCGCGGGAGCCTACCTTATCCACGGGGGGATGGACGGCAGCAGGCACTCCCTGGCCCACACGTCCCGCTCGTCGCCGGCTACGGTATGTACGTCCCGGGCTCTGGAGCGGGCAGGTTAAACCCCCAGCAGCAGCAGGATGGTGAGTAGAAGGCAGCTGGGACCACGGGCGTTGGGCCTCATCGGCCTCAGACAGGTGCCCCGCTGTGAACCTGGGGCTCTCCCTTGGTAAAGACAGGGAATGGGTAGCCGGGCAGCTGCTGGGAGCGACGTTGCGTGCTGGTGGATGCTACTGCTGCTGGTGCTCCACCATGGTCAGGCCATCATTGTCAGCCTCTAGGAGGCGGAGATCAGCCCTTCCCTGCGGAACCGGGCTGAACCAACGCAGAGCTGTGCGGGCATCCCGTGCCCCTGCCCCAAACCATGGCTCACCTGCTTTGGAAATGTGTCTGCTTTGAAAACCCTATGTCCCATACGTACTCTTATTTTTAAAATTAGCACAGAATAGAGTGAACCCCTTGGGTGCACAGAGCGACAAGTTCTGATGCGCACAGACTCGGCTGCCTGTCCCTGCATCAGGATGCAGCACGGGACGTTGCCCCAGAACTCCCTGGGTATTTCTTGGTAGTGACACCCTCCCCTCACCCACGAGCCCTGCCACCCGTCAGTCTGTCCTCCAGCACCGCAGTTTTGCTTTGGTCAGGGGGGATCTTCCCCAAGATCCCCATTGTGGCCAGCTTATTTCCCCAGTGTGGATCCCGGCGACCCCAGCCAGTTGTCGTGTGAGTCACTGGCTCCTTCCTGTCCTCCGTCAGCTTCCTTTACCCAAAAGCTCATTCATCCATTCACCAGCCGAGGGCCGCCTGGGCTGTTTCCAGTTTTTCATGATTTTGAATAAAACAGCTAGAAGTACTCACATGTGTAGACACATGTTTTGCTTTCTCTGGGGTTAATCAACACCTATGAGTGGGATTGCTTGCTCCTATGGTTAAGTACCTGTTTAGCTTTGTCCGAAACCACCCATGTTTTTCTGGGCAGTGTTGAGTTCCTCCCCCAGCCAGGTGTGAGCTCCTCTCGTCCACCTCGTCGCCAGCAGCTTTCATTCTCAGATGTTGTCAGCATCTTTTGTTTTAGCCATTTTCATCAGTGTGCGGTGACAGTGGTTGTAATTTGCATTTTCGTAATCACTAGTGATGGCAAGAACCTAGTCATGGGCTTTGCCTTTCATATATCTATTCTCTGGGGATGTGTCAGTTGAAGTTTGTTGTTATTGTTTTAACTGTGTTATCTGTTTTCTTACTGTTAATTTTGAGAATTGTTTGTATATTCTGGATTCGAGTCCCCTGCCAGATTTGTGATTTGCAAATATTCTTTCCCAGTCTTTAAAGTGTTTTTTCATTCTCTTACAATTCTATATAAATTTTAGATCAGTTTATCTATATTTACAAAAAAATTCCTAGTGAGATTTCGATTAAATAGCCTTAAAGCTCTATATCAGTTTGGAGAGAATTGACATCTTTTAAGTATCTTTTGGTTTTGGAGCTATTGTAAGTGGTATTGATTTTTAATTTCCATCTCTTCATTGCTAATGTATGAAAATATAGTTGATTTCTGGCTCTTGACTTTGCCTCCTGAGACTTTTCCAAACTCACTTTTTTAGTTCTGAGAGTTTTTTGTGGTCTGCAAATAGGAACAGTTTTATTTCCCCCTTTCCAATCTGGATGACTTTTATTTCTTTTTCTTGCCTTACTGCACTGGCTAGAACATTCTGTGCATGCTAATTCACTTCAGTCATGTCCCACTCTTTGCCACCCTATAGGCTGTAGCCCACCAGGCTCCTCTGACCATTGGATTCTCCAGACAAGAATACTGGAGTGGGCTGCCATGCCCTCCTCCAGGGGATCTTCCCAACCCAGGTATCGAACCCATGTCTCTTATGTCTCCTGCATTGGCAGGTGGGTTCTTTACCACTATCGCCACCTGGGAAGCCCAGGACGTCCTGTACGATGTTGCATATGAGTAGTGAGAGTGGATATCCCTTAGGGAAAAGCTTCAGTCTTTCATCCCTAAGTGATGTTACCTGGAGGGTTTTCACAATGCCCTTTTTCAGGTTGAGGAAGTTTCCTTCTATTCCCAGTTTTCTGAGAGTCTTTATCATAATTGGATGTTGAGTTTTGTCAAATGCTTTATTTTCATTGGTGTGATCGTGTGCCTTTTCTTCTTTAGACTATTGATATAATGGGTCAACTAAAAAATACCTTCCTGTTTTTGTGGAGGCCTAATCTTCAATAGAAGGGGATGCTCTAACTTCATCCCTATTCTCTCGATCCTGATGTGTTTCAGGGTCACCCTGATATCAGAGGCCCCCCAAGTCTCGCTGGCCTCTGCTTTCTATGTCCAGAGTGTGGGCACCATCTGCCCCACCATCCCGGGGGCACCCCCAGCCTGTGCCTCCCCACCTGCCCCTTAGAGCCAGGCTGTGGGCGCCGCCTGCCCCACCATCCTGGGGGCACCCCCAGCCTGTGCCTCTCCACCTGCCCCCTAGAGCCAGGCTGTGGGCGCCGCCTGCCCCGCCATCCCAGGCACCCCCAGCCTGTGCCTGCCCACCTGCCCCCTAGAGCCAAGCTGTGGGCGCCGCCTGCCCCACCATCCCGGGGGCACCCCCAGCCTGTGCCTGCCCACCTGCCCCCTAGAGCCAGGCTGTGGGTGCCATCTGCCCCGCCATCCTGGGGGCACCCCCAGCCTGTGCCTGCCCACCTGCCCCCTAGAGCCAGGCTGTGGGTGCTGCCTGCCCTGCCATCCCGGGGGCACCCCCAGCCTGTGCCTCCCCACCTGCCCCCTAGAGCCAGACTGTGGGTGCCGCCTGCCCCGCCATCCCGGGCACCCCCAGTCTGTGCCTCCCCACCTGCCCCCTAGAGCCAAGCTGTGGGCGCCGCCTGCCCCACCATCCCGGGGGCACCCCCAGCCTGTGCCTGCCCACCTGCCCCCTAGAGCCAGGCTGTGGGTGCCATCTGCCCCGCCATCCTGGGGGCACCCCCAGCCTGTGCCTGCCCACCTGCCCCCTAGAGCCAGGCTGTGGGTGCTGCCTGCCCTGCCATCCCGGGGGCACCCCCAGCCTGTGCCTCCCCACCTGCCCCCTAGAGCCAGACTGTGGGTGCCGCCTGCCCCGCCATCCCGGGCACCCCCAGTCTGTGCCTCCCCACCTGCCCCCTAGAGCCAAGCTGTGGGCGCCGCCTGCCCCACCATCCCGGGGGCACCCCCAGCCTGTGCCTGCCCACCTGCCCCCTAGAGCCAGGCTGTGGGTGCTGCCTGCCCTGCCATCCCGGGCACCCCCAGCCTGTGCCTCCCCACCTGCTCCCTGCAGGGCCCTCAGCACACCCTCAGAGGACTGGCTGGCAGACCTGAGTGTGGAGCTGCTGTCCAGTCGGGAGTGTTCCTCACAGACATGACGCCTCCACATCAGCAAGCTGCATCGACTCATACTAGTGAATAAACTAGGGTGATGGGTCACAGTCCAACTGCAGTCATCAGTCATGATGTTCTCTGTGGTCCATACCACCTCACCACAAACAAAGGCAGCTCAGACCCTGGGCTGCCCTGTCACTGTGGTCTGATATCTGGGTTTCAGGTTTTTTCATTGATTGAAAATCCATATACAATCTGTATTTTGACACCCTACCCTGCTCTTCCAGGACAGATTTTATTTTCTTGAGTTCCAAAATCACTGCGGACAGTGACTGCAGCCATGAAATTAAAAGATTCTTGCTCCTTGGAAGGAAACCTGTGACAAACCTAGACAGTGTATTGAAAAGCATTATTCTGCCAACAAAGGTCTGTCTAGTCAAAACTATGGTTTTCCCAGTAGTCATGTATGGATGTGAAAGTTGGACCATAAAGAAAGCTGAACGCTGAAGAATTAATGCTTTTGAATTGTGGTGCCAGAGAAGACTCTTGAGAGTCCCTTGCTGCAAGGAGATCAAACAATCAATCCTAAAGGAAATCAACCCTGAATATTCATTGGAAGAACTGATGCTGAAGCTGAAGCTCCAAACCTTTGGTGACGTGATGCAAAGAGCCAACTCATTGGAAAAGACCCTGATGCTGGGAAAGATTGAGGGCAGGAGGAGAAAGGGGCAACAGAGGATGAAGTGGTTGGATGACATCATCAACTCAATGGACATGAGTTCAAGCAAACTCAGAGAGATAGTGAAGGATAGAGAAGCCTGGCGTGCTGCAGTCCATGGGGTCACAAAGAGTTGGACACAACTTAGCAACAAAACAACAACAATGTGTAGAATCTAAAATATGATACAAATGAATTTATTTACAAAACAGATTCACAGACACAGAAAACAAAGTTATGGTTAGCAAAGGGGACAGTGGGTGGGGGAGGGATAAATTAGGAGTTTGGGATTAGCAGATATAAACTACTATACATAAAATAGATAAACAGTAATGTCCTACTGTACAGCTTAGGGAACTATATTCAGTATCCTTTGATAAACCCGAGTGAAAAGAATATGAGAAAGAATATATATATTTTAGTTGCAGTATTTGGGGCCTTGGGATGACAGATTCAAATTCTACAGTGTGCAGGCTGCAGCAGACATCTCTGAGATATGCCACTTGAAATCCTAGGAGTTTCTTGTCTGAGTCATCAGAGACTCAGCTCCTGCTTTCAGGACCCCAGCAAACATCCTGGCTTTGACCACCTGCACCCGCAGGTATAGAGGACCTAAATCTCACATCCTCTGTCCAGCTCTCCGAGAAGACCATCACGTGATCACTCCAAGAAGATGTGTCTGTGAGGCACTAGCTTCCGTCTATGCTCAGTAAGACTGATGCCTCCTCTGGCCTGGCTTCCCACGCGGGCCCCTCCATTCTCATGGCACCCTTCCTGGTGGCCCACGGGGCTGGTGCACCATCCACGTGGCCTCACAGCTCACATTGGATCATCAGCCGCAAAACAGCTCTTCTCTGTAGCCTGTGTTTTTAGGGAAGATCAGGGTATCTTGATGGCAAGCTCACATGCCTGATGGGCTTTTGCTAGAGGCTACCTTGCCCCCTGGACAGACCTTTGTCCAA